TTATGGAATGACTAAACCAACAAGACATTTAATTATGATAACCCAGATTTCTGGGGATTGTAAGTTTTTGTGTGTGTGATTTTATGTGTGACGGACTGTTGTGTATCCTGGCGCGGACATATCTTTTATAGCCCATCATTTACAAATGCCAATTTATAAAGATAGTTTTTACTTAAGAATAAGAGCTGATATCATGATTTAAAAACATACACTATCACTTTCTCAAATAAATTATGGGACGCTGTTCAATAGAAAATGATCTTTTTTTTTTAAATAACGTTTATCCTATGGCCTTAGTTAACAAGTGGTAAAGTATAGCAAATTTATTCTACGCTCATTTCTGCCTTTTTCGTCTTTGAGTGAATTAGACCCGAGCGTGACTAGTCAGAACCGCCCCACAAATTGTGCGCAGTGATTCAAGGTGTATCCAAGATTATAACATAAATATTGACAACACTTGTCCAAAATACCTGGCAAAATAAAATGGTGCGGAAGGAAATATTGTATTTACCGATTATCTAGTTAACGATACATTATGGGAGATTAGATGAAGAGCTGGCAGTTCTCACTATAATAGTTAAAAACTAGATAATGTAAAGGGAATTTGCTGAAAATTTCAGTCACATTGATCCACTCTGAACCGAGATTTTAGCGATTGAATTTTCGGCCTAGCCTCGATCATCATTACTACGATAAACGTCATAGTCTCGATTATCCATTTCATGATTAACACATGAATGAAACTTGAGCAGCAAACCGGATTCTAATCCAGTAAATACCGCAGGCTAGCGTTGACATTGAAAGTTGATTATGGTCTGGATACGTTAATTAATGTCTAAGTAATAATTAAGATAACATTTTAGGCCCCAAGAAAGACCTTCAATAGGCATATTTAGCTCTTGCATAAGATATGTTTAAGCTATAAAATATGATACTTAATACAGGTCGACTAGGGTTCGGCGTCGCCAGAAATAAACTTTTAAGTAACATGTATACCATATAATTATGTGATGTGATATTCTCATTCAGGTACTAAATAACACGTAAACAATCTAGTTAGGCCATATTTCAAAAAACGTACGCAATTTATTAATTTGGATACTCTCCTAAAAAGATTATCAATGTGGCTGTTTCATTTACAATTCGAGTATTTATGTTCAGTTCTTTTATTCTTATTGGGTTCTTTAAAAGGGACTGATTTACAATATTGCGTTTAGTTGTGAGTGTTACAGTTTCTATCATGAGACTGTTGAATTTCGCCCCTGCACCGTGGTATACCAGCGGGAATGCTCATTGAATCCCACGAGGTTTTATTGATCATGACATATTGTTGCCGATTGTCAAGATATCTCTCGGACCTCAATAATAACTCTCCTTAGACCCAGCAGCACCCAGTATGCGACAAAGAAGTTCGGCATGCCAGACTCTGGTAAAATCCTAGCATATGGTTATGATCAATATTTTGACAAATAAGTGATTTAGATCTATTAGTTGGAAGATATTTGAATCACCTGGCACTCACTTTGTAGTGTTAATATTGAATTGTCCTTAAGTTTGAGAAATTTTTTTATAACACTAGGGCTTCGGCAATTGAGAATTTAGTTTCATTTTCGATCTACTCACAACATACAACGGCAGTTTGAACCAAAAATGAACTCTGTCTAATCGTGTAGTGCGTCGGGGGGTATCCATCCTACAACTGGTCGACAATTAGATTTAGGATTAATACATATCAAACATTTGGACTCGGTAATGTAATACTATAAAATTATCAATTATAAAATAATTTCACAAAGTAAAAAATAAATCAATATGATTTTATTAATATTCTGAAATAAAGTCATGATACACTTACCTGGCATCTATTTCATAAAAATAAAAACATAAACATTAACCAGCAATTAATCCCTTTAATCATTTGGAATATTTCATATTGGTTCATTGTAACCTTCAATTAAAAAATCGTACTTCAATCAGTTCAGAAGAAATAAATAAAGATAGACGCAGTGCTATGATATAAACTTCTCGTGTGTGACAGAATACTAAAAATAGTAAAGACCCGGGTATTTGATTTGAAAGGACTAAGCGTTCAGATTGTAATTATAATTATATAGATATATGTTAAAACGGACTAATCATTTAAATTTGGTCAAAATAAAACATTGAATTCGGTTGACCTGATGTGTTATCTCGATTAGTAATCAGTAATCTGTGCACAATTAAATTTTTGTTCAGGGCGATTTTAGCGGAAGTCGATTGGCTTACTTATAATTTTAGTTCGAATTTTACTTTACTATGTCGACAGTTGTACTCAAAAACACAACACTGGCTTCATGGATAGAACTTAAACATTTTCTGCAAAGACATAGTGTCTCCCAATAAATAAATTTGCACATGAAATTCAATGACATTTTGACATAAATGAAAGAGGACAGGTTTCATTTAATTTAAGTAATAATCCAACACATTAAGCTTAAATAATACGAACCCGGACCTTTGGACCGGACACGTGTATGCGGGTAAAACCCGGAGCAAACGATCTATTAAATAATAATAAAATAAAAGAACAAGGAAGAAAATGTAAATAGGTCAGGAATGCAGTATACTACGTCTTTTATCTCATTTACTAACATTTTTGTCCTGTCATTATCAATATGTCATGAATTATAGAAAATGACTGAATACTTTTTTTTTAAAAAAGTGTGTAAACAAATCGTAAATGAACTTATACAATCAGCGATTGAATAGAAGCTTAAATTTAACATACTCGAATATCTTCCTTAAGAAGCATCTAGCAATTGATTTATGGTATAATAGGCATATGTGAAGTGAACTACACGCCATACAGTGTACACTGTAACAAAGATTTCCGTGAAAAAAAGTAAAAAATTCCGGAAACAAAAATTACCAGGAAAATTTTATCCGTATTTGTTTTTCCTGTAATTTACAGAAATTCCCTCAATTAACAGAAATTCCATTTTCAAATACAGAAAAAAAAATCCTGGTAAATTGTGTTTGCTGACGATGATGAAGGTGATAAAAATTTCATTGAATTAACCATTGACTTTATATGCGTGCGTGAAACAGCTTTATTTAACGTCCGCTTCCACCGAAGTGATACCGCAGATAATCTTTAAACGTAACCTCTTTTCGCTAATATAAGAATCGAGGGCAAGGTATCACACACCGCTACTCGTCAGTGGTTGGAGGCTTTCAGATGTAAGTTTGCGGTATTATCAATTTGCAGGTATGTAGACTCTGGCTTAGAGACAAACTGACTTACACTGGCCAACCGGTTGTACTATCCGGATTTAAGCGTGCTTGATTACCAGATATTACAACCTTAATTCACGCAGCATTAAATCATAATTTTATATATTTATGAAAATACTTACAATCTGATTTCCGTATGATGAATCACAATACACTTTATAGATCTTATAAATAATGGAAATTAGATATACATGACAATTAATATACCAAACTTTACAAAATATGATTCTTCATATTATGGTTAATAAATTGAAATGAATACTATAACATGACGATTATTAGGAATGATTATATATGTATACGATTACTTATCGTTGCACCGTTTATCCCGTAAAATAACAGACTTAAGTCCATTACAGAACGGAATAAAACATTTTATCCCTAAATTTCAAGGAACTTCCTTGTCCTTGTCATTCCACCGTTTATACCGTAAAATAACAGAATTAAGTCCATTATAGAAGGGAATAAAACATTTTATCCCTAAATTTCACGGAAATTTCCTGTTTAATACTGAATATTCCACAGAAATACATAAAACACGTAATTTGAAGAAATAATTCACACTATTAACACAATTTATCCAAAAAATCCATCGATTAACAGAAAAAAGGTGTTAAATTACGGAATTCGGCCACATAAAAAATGGATATTTTTTTACAGTGTACTGTGAGGGGAATTTTGCCCGGGTAGCGGCACTATGGCATACTCTTATATCGTATGCACACTTCGTCAGGCCCTCAGTCCTGCACTACTGAAAAGGGGAAATCAAGCCGGAGAATCCGATGAACTTTCTCGGTCAATGCAGGGATCGAACACGTGACCTCCGGGCTAGCGAGATCTTGTTGTTCTTAGTGTTTAACGTCCGCTTCCACCGAAGGTGATATCGCAGACAAGTTGTCTTTTTTTTTATTATTTTCATTATCTCAGCGCACGCGCAGGGGTCTTTCCTGTGGGAGGAAACCGGAGTACCCGGAGAAAACCAAATAGGTTGAGAAGGCGCCCCTATCTCCAAGCAACATACGCTCACACCAGGGATCGAAACCACAACCACAAGCCAGAGGTGATTGGCCAACTAGAGGTTAAAGCGTGACACTCTAGAGCACTAGCCCCCCCCCTCCCCCCTGGATAGCGAGCCAGCGTCTCACCCACTTATTCACCGTGGCCCCCTATCGTAGATCAAGCATAAGTCCGCTTAACACACTAGGCCTGATTTACACCTGCAGGGATTGATACCACTTGAAGCATTCTAGAATAAAGATTACACCCGTAGATACCACGTCGACTATTCAAGTTAAATTGTTGACACCTAGAAAACTATACTTGTTAAACTATACTAGAAAGTGATTTCTCCCACATGACCTCAAACGCTTGAAAACCGGTGGACAATCGTAGAACTATTCTAAACCAACTCTAATTAGATAGAAAACACTAACCGTCACTGTTTACACGTATCTAATCATAATATAGGAATACCACTTAAAGCAGCCACTATAATTATAATACAGGAAAGAATTATAAAGATCTACGCGCGATAACCAACGGTTAATATATTTGATGTATAAGTATAATGACGATAAACACCATGCAGATCTACAAAAGTGTTAAATATTTATATATCTATAGTATGAAAATGTAAATTATAATGATTGACAGCAGTGTGTTAAATATATTTTTAAAATATATTGAGGAAACATATCAGAGTTATTTGCAGTAGGTAATATTGTAGAAACAATTTGCAATAGATATATTTTCTAAAAATAATAATTTTAATCCGTTAAAGTACAATGGTATGATTATAATGTAGGAAAAGACCACAAGGGTCCACAGCTGTTATTGTTAAATATAATTTTGGTAATTTTGATATATCAGGCATCTCGATGGTAAGGGAAGCAACTTTTGTCTCTTGCCATTGCATAACATCCGATCCTCCCGGCGAAGTTCCTAAACTGACTTCATAATACAGGTTCTTCCATGGGGACGTAAATAAATCTCTCCATGACATTTCTATTGATTTACCATCAAATGATCTGGAAATTAGTAATTTTGAACCCGCTGAAATATATAGAATGGTACTATTAGTATCATTATTCATTCAGAATATATCATTCAATATTAACCAGTAGTCACACTGCACAGTCCAATCACGTGGTCCCACTGCACAGTAAAATTCAAACAATATTAAGAAAATGAGCATGTGTCTAAAATCCGGGCCGAAACAAAGTTCATCCGGTTAAATGCGCTATCGTTGCAAATTTACAGCTGAATAGTTGCACCAAAGTGTTTTCGAACTCTCCTTCATAAACGGAAATCCAATTTATGACATAATCCAATAAAACAGTAAAGACTTTTGTTACACTCGAATAATATTACACATCGTAGATCAAATTTGAAATTTTTTTTACTGGCAGAATGACTTATACAAACCTTGTAAAATAGGAGGTAGTGCTACAGATGATATTACTGTTGATATAGAATTGTCTTGTCTTCCTAATACATTAATAGTAGAAACACTAACATTATAGTTAGAATTAGGTTGTAGTGAGAAACTTCTTAATTTAGCTTGGTTATAAACAATCTCTGTAACTCGAACTTCTTTATCTAAATTATAACCTGGACCATACACCGATACCTAGTAATAAAACACATAAATCTAATACATGTCTCATATTTGACTTAAGTTTATTTTAAAAGGTTTCCTGCCAGTCAGAGGGGTTATTCTAAACTGAAACACTAAATTGTTTTATTATGAAAAAAGACAACGTTAGATCTAGGTGCTCAAATGTGCACAGATAAGGGTTAAAAGTCCACTTATCTGGCATTTCTCCTTTTCTTAAAAGATATATACCTGTATCGACTTGGTATCAATTCTGGTATTTTCTAAATCCCATTTTAATCGTAAACTATCAGTCAATGGATAACAATCATCCTTCACCGGATATGCAGATACTCCATCTTCATGAATGGCGATCTGACAGTCTGCTATGGCAGCCATTTTGATTATAACCAGAACGCCATCAGTAGTAGCTGTAGTTGGCAATCCAGCCTTATTATAACATCTTACAGTAGAATAAACTTGTTTAGAGTTCTGTATTTGATCAACACTGAGTTCAACTTGAACAAATGATTGTTTATCTGGTATAGGAGTAAATGGCTGTATATCAACACTGTCGTGCGTTGAACCTTGTATATAAAACATTAATTGATAAATGTATACATGTGTGAATAACTAAATAACCTACATGTTGTCTAGTTAATACAAATAATAGATTGTATGTTGTAGAAATTAACAATAATTACATTCAACCTTCGACGTTTATTACACAGATATACGCCATTCATTGTATGCTGTAAAGCAAAATGAAATTGGGTTTAACATCCTACTGTTCTATACTGGCTGGGCTAATAAGGACGGTATTCGCCATACAGTCAGCTATGAGGGGAATCTTGCCTATAACCGATTAACAAATTACGTTATTACAACGTTGAAAATTTTAAAGTATTACCTATAGCCCATTGACAATATTCTACTCCTGATTCTGGATCTCCTACTTTCCAATTAACTGATATAAGTTTGGTTAGCTGGAAATTTACATCATTCTCTTAAATGATCAAAACATATTTAATTCAACACAAGTTAATGTATTTAACAAGAAACAATTTATCGGGCTATCGAGATGTGGTTTTGATAGGAACCAAAGTTTAAACCTTCGACAATGTTAACTGTGATTTGGTTTAGTAAACAGTACAATCCTGCCAAGTAATTACCAAGTTTCAACCCTGAACTTGGTGTTGATAACCATTCTGAATAGATCATAGGTTCTGTTAATATTATTTAAATAGCTGATATTTCATTGTGGTGGCCAATAATATTTTCCATTAAAGTACCTCACAATAAACATTTAATTTCTTACCTATACCATCGTTTATCTCTGATATTATTGACGGAGTCATATCCACAACAATACTCTCTGACTGGCTGACAGTTGTCAGTCCGGCCCCATTGGTTGACATCACGGTCAGGTATAGTAGTGTATTATGGGCTAATTTTAGACCGGATGCAGTAGCTTGCTGATTTCTACCAACACTTGTGAACGACCGAATCTGGGTTCCACCTTGCACGGTTCCTGAAATTAGTATGATTGCTGATTATAAACCGTAGCCAAAACGATATTAGAAAAAAAAATGCTCCCTGAGTAATTTTCCAATATATTATTTGATGCTAAAATCAACCCGATTTCTAAATAAAATCCATAAAAACAGGAAATGTATTGCTATAACTAAATACCTACATGATTTAAACACTATTGTATTACTTAATTATAGTCACTGATATATTTACATATAGTAGTACATGTATTCAAGCTAAACTTACCTAGTGCCCATTGATAATCTGTAATATGACTTTGATCATCTTTAAAATGCCAGGTAAGATGAAGAGATGACCAATAAGGTCTAAATACTGTATGATGTATTAAATGATTAGAATCACTTGTTATATCTATATAATTAACTTGTTGTACATATACATCATCTACAGCTAATATCATATGTAATTTACTTGTACCAATTCTTATCACTTCTCTTGCTTCTCTTGGATGGAATACATAAGTAAATTTATTCCATAATATTAATGGTTGTTGGTCGATGTCACATATTCCCTGGCATCGTTCTGGGTCAAGGCTGAAAGTGTGAGTTTCTTGTCCGAATTGCACGAAACCTTCGACGTTGTGATGCTGAATGCTAACATCATGTGGATATCCAACATGTACTATAACATGGTAAGCACTTTGGTTGTTTAAATCAAAAACTGTTTGTTGAATATGACCTTTCACTTTAATATAGGTTCCGCCTTCTTTTGAAACGGAAGGTTGTGATTGGATAATTTTAATACACGAGGTGGAGTCAAAATACCAACGAGCTGGTGGTTGGTCATCACATTCCTTATTTGATTCCTCCGCGCCTTCTTCAAATGATGGATTGGCGATGCGATTTTCTCCAATATAATCTATATCAACCGGTACTGGGGGCGTGGTATCAATTGTAATACCATCAGACACTGCTACATCAGATTTCAACCCACTTCCATCTACAGCATACACTTTATTATAAATTTTCATACCTATAACAATAAAATACAGTAATGGTATTTGTTACGGTGGCAGTAATACTTTGATAATAGAAGATCACATTTGGAAACAAAACATTCAGAAATTCATTCTTTGGAACGAGATGGCTTGAGACGTTATGGGGTGGTTTTGGGGTATATTATATTAGAGGGGACTCTTTCCAAAGGCATTTGCCGTCTTCATTAGCCCAGTTTAGGAGCAGAACAGTAGGACGTTAAACCCCATTTCATTTCATTTCCAAAGGCATTTGAAGAGATAAAAAATTTTTTTTCATTTTCTTATCCACTATACTACTGTAGGGGACCAGTTTCGCACGTGTCGAGATAAGAAAACAGTATGACTAGTAATATATTTATCCAAACTGTAGCATATTATATAGTGTCCCAATAATGAAAGGGTTTGTATTTTTGAATAAAATACCTAATAGATTCAATTTTATTCAATTAATATGGAAACTTTAGAATGCCTACCATGATTTAAAGGTGAGGTTAGGTTTACAGACACTCTAGTATTCAATCCTACATTCCTCCAGTCGTGTATATTACAATCTGTAGTACTAATACCAGTACCAATACACCAGTAATATTTAACTATACCAGTACCACTATCAGTAAAACCATACCATGATGATGATATAACTGTTGTAGAGTATTGGTAATCTTTATCATAGATATCTGTAAAATATGAAATAATAAGAGACCGTATCCCCCAATTTATTATGGTTGTCTATAAAAAGCATAAATAATAAACTTATCACATAAAGGAAATTTCTTAGAAAAATAACTGGGAAATATGTATCAGATTTAAATAATTAAAATCGTCTTAAATAAGTATATGTACGGTGGCTGATAAGGGACATGAAAATTAAAATTGACTTCTGCTAAAATTATAAAAAAAAACAAATTATATTAAAATTGACTTGGGTGAATATTAAAAAAAATAAATGATATTATTTTTCATGTCAATTATCAGCCACTGTATCTATGAACTATGTTGGGTAATTTCATATATATTCAATAATTTCAATAGTTTACTTACCATTACCATCATGTATAATACCAGAAGTGGGAGTTGTATTGTCTATTAATATTCCATCACTATTGGCCCAGCTCAATAATCCTGCTTTATTATAAGCAAGTACAGTACTATAATATTCTCTATTCTCTTGTAGATTTAGATTAGTAGCTGTATATACACTAGTATTTCCAGGTACTCTTGTAGATGACTGATGAACGTTGTGGCCTACATTTCAGAAAAAGACGCCAAGACCGCTATTGATTACATTATTAAAGATGCAATATGCAAGATTTAGATAAATAAGTAATCAACAGAGTTGATTACGGGCTTCTCTTGTGAATAAATTTCTAATAATTGTTATAAGATTTGAGGCCAAAAGAAAGTTTTGCAATCTTTAAGACTCACTATACTAGATAATGAGATTGGTCGGGACTGGTTCAAAAATATCTTAGGAATGGAAACATCAGTTTAAAAATGTTGTCATACATTTAATAAATACATGTTTCCATGAAACATTTAATGTGATTATGTTAGTATTAAAACCCACCTTGTGGATGAGTGCTTATATAAGGCTTAACATAATCTAATCCACGAATTCCTCCTCTAAATTTATTCTTCCAACCAACAATAATCTGATTGCTGGATGTTTGGTAATCTATATCGTTAACACTTAATATAGTTTCTAATTCTTTTATCTGAATAAAAAATAGAGCAATACATCTCAAAATCAAATCAATAATTCTATTTAAAATAGGTTAATCAAAACGGGGAAAAATCGTGATATACTATTCAAAAAAAGTAGGGGATATTTGATTTTGGGGGCATAATACTAAAATATGCAAATGACTACGAAAAAAGTCACTATAGAACCTAACAGAAGAAACATTTCCAGTTACATGTGACGCCCAAACGCACCAATAGCTACCGCATGGAATGCAGGTGATGCTTGGGATCATCATGGGGGTCCAACCCAAGATTTGCACGACTCTGACTTTGAATGTTACAGTCATTGTGGCATTGAATTCCAGGGTGGAAACATCAGTTTAATTGTTTTAGTGACCAGAAAACAAATTTTGATATGCGTCGGCTTACCCAAAATGAAAGGTTACGTGCCCTTGGCATGCTACAGATCGGCACAACACAGGCGGTTGTGGCGCGGACGATGAATGTTTCTCAGTCTGTCATAAGCAGGCTATGGTCCAGATACCGTGATACACAATCTGTACAGGACAGACCACGCTCAGGTCGACCAAGGGCGACAACTCAAGCCCAGGATCGATTTATCCGTACCTTGGCCTTGAGAAATCGTGTCATCACAGCAAATCAGATCAGCGCTCGTCTTCAAACAGACACTGGTGTGAGAGTGAGTGGTCAGACGATTCGGAATCGACTGCATAGGGGTCACCTTCGCGCCCGATGTCCTCGCGTGATCCCTTGTTTGAGAGATCATCACATTCAGGCAAGACGTCGTTGGTGTAGGGATCGTCAACACTGGGATAATCGACGCTGGAGCAATGTGATGTTTTCAGATGAGTCAAGGTTCACTGTTGATTTTTTGGACAGACGTAGGAGGGTGTGGCGTCGTCGAAACGAGCGCTTCCAAGACGTTAACGTCATCAGTCATGATCGATTTGGGGGTGGTTCTGTTATGGTGTGGGGAGGCATCACTGTTGCTGGAAGAACGGCTTTACATGTTGTTGCAGGGCGTGTTACAGGCCAGTACTACCGGGACAACATCTTGGCAGTCCATGTTGTGCCGTTCGCACGACGTCATGGCCGCCGTTTCTTCTTCCAGGATGACAATGCAAGATGTCACAGGGCCAGGATCGTTACAGGTTACCTCCAACAACAGAACATCACCACATTACCTTGGCCAGCACTGAGTCCCGACCTCTCCCCCATCGAGCATGTCTGGGACATGCTTGGACAGAGGTTACGTCAACGTCAACAACGTCCTGCCAATGTCCAAGAACTTGCTGCTGCGTTGCAACAGGAATGGGACAATCTGGACCAAAATGACCTTAGACGTCTCATTAGGAGTATGCCACGTCGGATCAATGCTTGTTTGGCAAACAGAGGAGGATTTACCCGTTACTGACTTGGTTGTGATGCTGTGGTAACTTTGCTGTTTGACCCCGGGTATCATTTTACCCTTATAATGGTCAGTCTGTGCCTTACTTAGTCTAACGATCATTTGGAAAAAATCGATGAATGTGAACTTCATTTCATTTTGTCATTTGTTTCTTCGTCAGTTTCATTAGGTGACTTTAATAACACTTAAAAATCAAATATCCCCTACTTTTTTTGAATAGTATATAATGACAATTATAATTATTAAATAGCTTGGTGTTTTTAACTTATTTTTAAGTACTTACAGCAGCACCTGCTATGTGACTGACACTAGGAGCAGACGTCAGTGGTGTAATACCAGGAGACTTAAATATCGCATATTGATTTGCATTATACCATACCCTCACAAATACACTATATGGCACAGACTTATCTAAAACTTTAGCTGTAATAAATAAAATAATATTACGAAATTACATGTACTAGAAACATAGTGGGACCTTAAGCCGATCCCTGTGATACACCTTTACAAGATAGAAGACTTTTGTTTATAGAGCTTTATACGTATGTTTCAATGTTTATAGCTGAATGTATTGATAAGGTATCCTATTGTAACTGAGTGAAGGTTGTGTGATTTGTTAATATTACATATTATTAAATATACAGTATTAGTGATTGTTTCTTGAAAGAAATGATTAACATTTTTAAAAGGTATACCTGTAGGTAAAGTAATTATAGTTTCGGTATTTTCACCAACTTCAAACCATGTCCTTTCTGTATCAGTGTCATATATTCCACTGGGTAAATTTTCACCGGAATGACCGGCACTGCATTCATATCTAAAATAACATATGCTGAGTTTGAATTCATGGTAATTGCTATGTAGTTAATAATGAACTTAGCTGGTCTTGGCAGGCTGAAGCCTAGATCATCATGATATAGCGGGCCTGCGCCCAGTTGTATGATATGTTGAAGTTTTATTTACCTTATAGATGAGAGACATTGTTGGTTTATTAAAGAGGTTTCATTTACCTAATAGATGAGTGACCCTGTTGGTTTATTAAAGGGGTTTAATTTATCTCAATTTAATTTAATTTATAGACGAGAGACCTTCTTATTTTATGAAAGGGGTTTAATTTGCCTTATAGATGAGAGACCGTGTTGGTTTATTAAAGACGTTTAACTTATCTAAGTTTAATTTACCTTATAGGAGAGATGCCTTGTGGGTTTATTATGCTCCATCTGGCAGATAGAAAATTATCAGACGATGTGTAGTAAGACTGTGTAGCATCAGATGACATCAAATTAGTCATGTCTGTAACTTGGATAATGTTATTTGGATTCCCTGCATAAGAAATCAATCACATGGCGGATAGCATAAAATATACAAAAATATAGAAATACAGGAATAGTGTGGCATATAACATCTAGAAACCCTTACAGAAAAGTTCACAAAGAATTAATTAATGAATAATTTTAATAAAGTTGATAGATATATACCTGTTGAGATGTCACTGCAGTTTTCAGCATCTGAACATGTCTTGTCTTGTGCAGCACAAACACAATGTCCAAGACAATTATACGGTTGACATCTCCTGACTAAATCTAACATTCCTCCTTCTACAAGTTCAAATTCAGAATGAGCAGGTTGACTTTTTAATCCAACCTATGTCAAAAATGAAAATGAAATGATATGTAACACAATAAAACGACTAGAAGTAAAACATATTGGTAGTTAATATATAGATACGGATACTGAAGTGGCAATTTTGTCTAAGTCTGATACACCCGATTTAGAGGTGTAATTTCTCTTGTTCTACTGTAGTACATATATCATATACTAGCAAATCATTAAATAGCAATAATTACCCCGTTAACAGCCCATACAGATATGAAAACAGAATTGCCCATATGAAGTGTCTTGGTAGTTATTGTAACTGATTGTACCACTCCTTCATCATTAAAATTATCTCCAGCCACATGTTGAAACGTGGTTTGTTGATATCCCTGTTAAAACATTTTTTCATAAAAGAATTTCGTGAAGTAAAAAACAATATGTCATATTACCTAAGATTAATTGCAGACGGAAACCAAGCATTTTATTTATAAGATTTTGTGTGTTTGAATGCTGCTATTTTACGCCAAAAATTGTATTATGCTCAAGAATACCACATATTACCGTAATTAGAGATACTTGCCTCGTTGAGATCTGTAAAGAAAGGTTTGGTTCCAACACTGACTTTATACTCGGTTATACCAGTATGTAGATCAGCGAATCCCAACCATGCTAACTTAATAGACGTAGTAGACCAGTGGTTCCAGTTATTCCTATCTCTGTTTAAGTTAGCGACGTGGTCAGTATCAATAGCAAACATACCTGAAACAACATTCACTAATTATTTCATTGGGGAAGATACACAATTTGTAATATGGTAAAACTTTAATTCTCCAAAATGACCAGAACAAAAGCAAAACGACATCGAGTTCAGATTTTTCATAATTATCAGATTACTTAGTCATTTTAAAGTGGAAAACAAATTAAAAAAAATTAAAATTAAAATTGCCTGTTTTCTTAGAGTACGTGGATTTATTTACATCGAGAATGAGTTATCAGATATCACGACATTTGTTCTTATATAATGCAAGCATAACTATAAGCACTTTTAATCGATACAAACAATACACGTACCTCTGGTAGGTGGTGTAGAATCAACTGTTATATCATCTGTAACACTCGACAGACACAAACCAGCTAAATTACAACCAATCACTTTAACTTTATATTTACTCCCATCGTGTAGAACTAGACCAGAAAACGTAAACTCTGTTACCACACTAGGAATCTGAAACAAAAATAGTAATATATTCTCTAAAACTAAAAGTATTCCAACTATACAATTTAACTTCGTCACCGTTCGTTAGACAAACCCGTAAAACCACTGCATTTTTAGAATAGTAATCTATCCCTTAAAAGTTTTCCAACTATGCAATTTTACTCAGGCACTGTCCAGTGGACATCCTCGTAATGCCACTGTATTTTTTTAAATTACTGAATTCATTATAGGCATGCTTATTTTTTATCAAAATATTTCATTTTTCAAAAAACAAAATATGTTTAAAATTATCGATAGGACTTACCTCCATAGCTGAAGAATTAAAATCTCCCAATAAATGAGATGAAATAGAAATGTATTGTCTTTCTATATCTGATTCATCATCAGTAAACTTCCATTCAATTTTAATACTAGATTTCGATATGGTAGTTGAAGGTAAAATAGAACTAAACGATGAGACGGGGGCTGCCCTTTGTACTATTAATGGTAATGTTGTATCGATCTTAAAACCATTTGATGTAACTTCGCTGTATAAACCTAATAATATAAAATCTAGGTGCAGTGGCGGCTTTGAAATACATAAATAATACAAACGATGATGATATATATTTAATAGTAAACCTACGCAATTTTACAAAAGAAAGATGTCGATTCGTCTACAATGAAGCCGGGTCTAGAGGACATGCCCTCATGTTTTTATATTCTAGCCCGAAAAGGGGTGATAAGTCTAACGAATTTTAGAAAGGGAAAATATTTCGTGTAGGAACCCTTTTACTACTTATATTGCGAATTTATACATTGGGTCCACAACAGTAATGCTTGTTCAAGTAAGATATAACTTAAATTATTGTTTTTGTAAGCATCATTAGCGTCATTAAAATAATTTGAGTCGTACCTGCTTTATTGTAACATCTAACAGTAATATAAATTCTAGTATCAATAGGCAATAACTTATTATCAGGTAAATTAGATCTATAGGCCAGTTCGACCATTGGTAAAACTTGAGGGCTAAGTAGCTCTTCGCCTCCAATGGTTGTTCCTACTCTCCATTCATATCTCGCTATACCAGATTGTGCATCTTTAAACCCATGCCATTTGGCACCAACAAAGTTTCTGAAATCAGGATGACAATCCTTAAAAATTGCACATAACACATTATGTTAACTTATTCAGTAGTAGAATCTGATTCTGGACGATAATAATTGCAACACTCTTATATAACCCTAACTAACTGCTCAGAACCAATTTATAAATGTCAATCATCTAATTAAGATAAGTTCCCAGCTAAATCGTTCGGGCGATCGGCAAGGGTGGTAGCATATGAGGTCATTTACAGGACAAATTGAGGAAATTGAATATTGAAAAGGCTTCTTCGTTTCACTAGTTTAAATGATGCATATCAACATCATACGTATAGGATTGTAACTTTTGTTAAATAGAATCTTCATATCAATAATGTAGGCATATAATATCAATTTTAAAACAATCAGATGATAAATGTAGTCTTTAGAGTGTTCATAAGAAATTGTGGACGGACGGACGGGCGAACGGGGGCGATGGCAATATACGACCACGTATAAAAATGGCTTATTGTAAAATGCCTTTTAAGACAATATCTACTGCAGCGGTCCCATAGCAGAGGAGACTCGATAAACGTGATCCAATCATATTCGTGGATCTTCATGTCTATTTTATAGTTTGTTCTGAAAACGGAAAACTAAACAGACTTGATAATCGTGTTTCAATTACCTGGTTGCTTGGAATTCTACATCTAAATCTTTCGTTCCATCTAAAACTCGTCCCACGTCCGGTGGTGTCACGTCAATTATTACCCCGTCAGAAATGGCCGACGTACACATGTCAGCCATATTGCACCCTGTTACCGTGGTGATATATTTTGTTCCAGGAGTAAATTTGGACGGTGGAAAGGTAAAATCTGAAATATGTATCGGTTTTTAAAATTTATTAGAAGGTCTACTTAATTTATTTGAAAGAGAATAGTCCATATTTTTACAATAAAACTTAACTAAAATCTGAAATATCGGTTGTTACGACATGTATCTAATTTATTATAAAGAAAATAGCCCCTATTTTTACAATAAAACTAAAACACCTCTTCTTGGGAATATCATCAATAGTTCTATGACAGAAAGTTGGATTGTGCTTTGTAATAATATTTTCCTTACGTGTAGATATTCCTGTTTTGATTTCTGGAATTATGTCATCACAATCATCACAGGTACCAACTTTAACAGTATAGTATTGCATGGATGAATAGGGGTTGTGGAATCCTTGCCATCTAACAGAAAGTGGTGATTGGTTAGTTATATAATCTACGTCATCTCCGGTATAGTTTGTATTAAGAATATCGATGACATATCCTGTGGTAGGAGGAGTTGTGTCTACTGTCACTGGACGAGATATTAATGTAGTAGATAACCCTGCACCATTAATGGCCTGAAACACCACAATAGACAAGAGTTATTGTAAAATTGGTATATAGAATGCAAAGATAACCAGCATATAGCATGAATTTGAAAAATGTTCTATCGGAAATTACATCAGATATAAGCATACCGTCTGAACGATTAGTGTCAATTTCTTTGAAATAATTAAGGGATAAATAATAAAGCACAATGTTTGTTCCCAACGTATCTATAGTTATATCAAGCATAATCATTAAACTTTTTTTCTATCTAAAAACGTAATGTAAAATTACAATAAGAGATATACCTGAACTGTGACGTAATAAACGTGTCCATCTTGCAATTTGTGTTCTAGGTTCGCTTCATCACAATCATTATCGGTTATCATATAAGCCCTAATGTTTTCATGACCTGGTCTAGTACCTATTGCCCACCGATACTGACTTATACCACTTTCGGTGTCTTTAAATGATCCGCTCCAACTGTAAATAAATCAAATACAATGATGGCTCAGGCTCTTTAATACATTTACAATTAATTTCAACACCAACATCCTTGT